CGCCTGTCCCAGCTGGCTGCCCCAGATCCCGTGCAGGCAACGCAGGATGATGGCGCAGAGAGGATGCTTCCTGGGAAGAGAGCGAGAGGGAATTTGTCTATTTTTGCCGCTTCACATGTAAAAATCCTGGGAGGTGCAAGCAGCCGCCCCGTAGAACTTGTTTCCCTTCAGCTTTTCTGTGCTGCCGCTTGCAGAAAGGAAGAATTGGTACTTAGTGGGAGAGGACTGTAGTCTTCAGAGGATAGGGTGGTAAGGCAAGAGCATCCTGTGTGGGTCCTAACACGGCCCGGGTTATTTTCAGCACGTATTGGACACTTTAACTTTTTAAGCTAGTTTTTTATTGGGTCTGTGCAGTCCACATGTCCCCTCTTTCCCCACCTCCTCTCTGATGGTGCGTGTAACATTCCCATGGCTTTTGAAAGGTGTATGTAATTTTGTATTCTGCTTTGTGCAGGGCTTGGGCATGCTACAGCGTACCTCAGCGCCTGGCTTGGGGCCGTCAGAATAGGCGGGGAGTGTGTCACGACCAACGAGTCTCGCATCGTTGTTGCCTCCCTTCTGCTTGGGGCAGTTCTTCCGCCTTGGTATTGGGTCGCTAAAGACCAAGACCTTTAAAGCTGGGTTGGCAGAGGGGAAATAAGGCAGTATTAATGAAGTATTAATATAAAACTAAAGATTGGGAGCAGGGGGGAGGGAAGAATAAAGAATCTATAGGTTGTGAAGCCAACCCCAGCACTGTGATCTGTCCATCCCAGGCCGCTGGCTGTGTGTTTGGAGATGCTGCTTGTGGGCGTTGTTGGGCCTCTGCGATGCGTGTGAGGCTGTTGGCCAAAAGCGACAGGAGTCCTATATTGCTTACATGCTGGTGTGCGTGGGGGCATGTGTCCCTCCGGTCTGTTTGGCTCCCAGCTGTTAAGCGCAATGATGCTATTGAAAACTCTTGTCATCTGCTTTCCCTTTTGGGTTTGTTCTGTATTTTTTTTTTTTTCTAAAGGGGGAGGGCTGGTTTGAGGTTTGGGTGTTGGGGCTTTTTTTTTTTGTAATAACAAAGGAAAACTTTCTCTGGTTAAGTAGAAATTTCATGGAAAATGTTCTATTATGTGGTACCGTGCAGGCAAGTGGCTTAGATTCAGCAAGGGCTAGAGCTTTATTTAGTACAAGAACAGTGTGCACAGTAAGATAAACTAGACTAAGATGAGCAGAGCTGTTTAAAACTTGGGCCTTGAGCCTAAGTGGCTTGGTAGCTGGGCTCGGAAGACAATGTCCATTGCAGACTGCTGCTGGGTGAGGTGCCATCAGCCACAGCACCTGTCCAAGCATCCTTGGAGAAAAGGCGCCCAGCAGAGCTCGCTGGTGGGGTGCTGGGGTCACTCCTGCCTTCCTTACTTTGGAGGACGCCCTCCAAGATTGTAATCTGAGGTGCACGGGCAGCTTGTGTCCGTGCCCACTTGTCTGTAGATGCATCTGTATATAGGCAACTGTACATAGGGAGCGGGACCTGCTGTCCCCATGCTCTGTACGACTTTTTCCTTACTGATACAGGCTGATGTTTGGGAAACAGGGCAGAGCCCTGCAAAGACCACTGCCTGGGTTTGCACCTGTCTGCAGAGTGCAATCACTGCGCGTGGCCTGGGGGGGAATGGGACAGGAAGCACCTGACTGGCAGCACTGAGGGTTTTGAGGTGTGCTGACTCCTGCCTCGCAAGGAGGCAGTGTAGAGGAGCTGGTGTGAGGCCTTGGAGGGCACGGAGAGGCAGTGTGCCCCATGCCTGCCTGCCCACCTGCGGGGCAGCAGTCGGGGAGGACAGTGCTGGTGCAGAACAGGGAGGCCTTGTCTAAAGCAGGCACCTAAATCCTGCCCCGTCTGTAGTTTGGGGAGAGACGTGGCAGGACACTAGAGGAAGGGGTCTCGCCTTCAGCCACAGGGACCTTCCCCTGCATTAATGCATGCTACAGCCATCTGGCCGCATGCAGCATGCGTGGTCTTTAGTTCAGCTTATGTTCTTGGATATGTTCTATGTTCTGTGTTTATAATATCCCCATATGATTGTCTTTAGTTGAAAGAAAAGCTAAGGGCTCGTTTATCACTTCAGCCCTGTTTGATGCTGGCATCATCTTCCCCAGGCAATGGAAGCACTGAGGGGAGCACCAGGAATTGGTTCTTGCTCTGGCCTTTCTGCTTGAAACACAGTGGGGCGAAGGGACGTGGTGGAGGAGAAAGGGCTGAGGAGGCTTCTCCCATCAGCGTGCCCTGATTTGTGTCAGCCAGAGGTATTGAACCCTGCACGCCTTTAATGCTAGCCCAAGAGGCCGAGGGAGGTGGCAGCACTGCTTTTCTGAATGGGTCTTCTCCTTCCAAGAAAACAAACCAAAATGCACGTCAGGTGGAAGTGCAGGGCATGGCCCCTGGGGCATGGTCCCACTTCCAAAACTATCCCTTGGAGTCTCCTAGAGACTTATGAGCCTCTGCTGCCAGGAGAAGGCAGGCGCACAGCCAGATCCACAGAAGATAAATTCTATCCTATACTGAGCTTAGACTCATTTTTTGGCAGCTACAGCCAAAGTTATTTTAAAGTTGTCTACAGCTGCCTGCTTGCCTTGGAGTCATGTCTCCTGTTAGTGCCCTGTGTGCACAGTTATGCTTCTGTGAATGCCTAGACCTGTCCTAGGCTTGGCAGAGCTGTTTCTGTATTTTGTCTAATAAGAAACAGTGCTGGCGCACAGAGATGAAGCTCTTCCTCTTCACCAGGGTTTCTGTATCTTTTGGAACAAATACTATAACCACTAGGCTAGAAAGCCATTTTTCTCATGTCCCTTCTGGCTCCCTGGCCTGTGGCCTCTTCCCTTGCACAGTTTGGACAGTCAGGGTGGAGAGCGCATGCCCAAGAAAAATGACCTTTTTTTGTAAGTAAGGCACTCTGGTGAGAGGTAGGAAAATGGGACCTCTTTCCTTAGAGGATGGAGTTGGAGCAGGGCCTCTGCTCCTTCTGAGGCTGTGTTAACCACTAGCCAAGGGGCAGGGAGCCATGTGCTTTAACAGAAAGAGTTTGCTCATGTCCTTCGGTGATGAAAGGAAAGGTGGGTCCCTGCAGGCAAAAGTGCAAAGCCTCTGCTGTTTGGGGGTAAAACACCCTGGAGACAGAGGTCACCCTGTCTTTTATGCTTCTCTCTAGGGGTTAGTGCTGATTTTAGGGCCCTCTCCCTGCTGACTGTGTTGGGGTACCTGGGTGGGCAGGCTGAGCTTGGGCACTGAAAGGTTAAGTGTAGTTTTTTCAGTCCCTAAGCTCTGTATTGGATCTGGGCTGCAGCACAAGCAACTGCATTGCATGCCCACCCCGCTGTCTCTTTCCAACAGCAGCTCGCAGCATTTCTGTAACACTTTTCTCCCTTGCAGCTGGGCAGTGCAGGAAGAGGGCAAGTAACACTGCTACTTCAGCTTCGTGCATCTCCCAATCTGGGGCTATTTAAACCCAGTACTGACACACAAGGTGAACACAGCATGACAGGAGAAGTGAAAGAGCTGTCAGACCAGACTTCCCTCCCTTACTCCCTTTGCCTCCTTTACTCTCCCTCATTCTCGGTTTGCCCTATAAAAGCATTATGAATTAACCCTGCTGAAATGGGTGGTTACAGGGTAGGAGATGAATTTGTATTGGATTTTGTAGCCTGTTGCAAATGCTGCACTGTTTTGTTCATTTTATTTTTTAATCAACAGATTGTAATTTATGCCTATGCAAAAAAAAAACCTAACAAATAAATTATATCAAAACTGTTGAGAACCTTTTAGGTGTTTTGTAGGTGTATTTGCTGGTGAGAATGATGCACATCCAGCAGATGCAGCTATTCTTGTAGTGGTGCAAGAGTCCAGCTCTTGTTTTTGAGTTTTAAATGTCTTTTCTGAAATTTATTGCAGAGTCTGTATCCAAGAACTTGTTACCTCTTAAACGGATAAACCTCCTGCCCTACTCATACCAAATCCTTACCTTCCAGCATGACCTATGGCTTCTAACAACCTACCATGAGGAAACAGGCTTGCCTAATGCCAGTTTGACCAAGGAAGTTCAAGCTAATCCCTGTCAGAGGCAAGCATTACCTTATTCACAGGTGAACACTGCTAGTCACACTGCCTACAGCATCTAGGTTATGAGTCTTGACCTTGTAATCTAGCAGACTCTGGTTGGAAAAATGATGAAAATAAGACCTACTCTTCTGACCTTGCATTTCTTGAGACACCTAAATCAAACAGCACCATCCTGGAGGACTCAAACATAGCTTCTAGCTGTGCAGCAGCTACACCACCGCCTCAAGCTGTTGCCCCAGGCCTTGCTCTCCCTAGTGCAAGGGTCAAATTCCCCACTCTGCACTTTTCAGGCATTCACTGTAGCACTTGCATCTCCTTATCCATATGGAGCAGTGATTACAACAGGAATTGCTAAGTTTAGAATCTGTCATGCTGGACAGAAGGGCCCAGCTATGCTGCACACTCAATCCACCCCACAGTGCCCTCTGAGATGTCCCTGGATGCCAGTCTGTCATCTACCTTGCTGCAAGGAGGAGGCATAAATGAGGCTTGGGTAACAGGGAAGTTGAGGACAAGGCTTGACACAAAGCACAACTAAGGTTAGCTACACGTTACTCTCTTTTCCTTAACATGGGATGTAAAAAAGAACACATGGAAAGGAAGTACTTTATACTTCAATTAAGCCGGAGTATAAAAATGGCTACAAAAAGGGAATCAAGCAGACCTGGGGAGGGCAGGGGGCTTCCTACCGGTGTCTACTTGAACAGGATGGGCCAAAGGCAGATCCCGTGTCAAGGGATTTCCAGCAGCTCCTCAGCGGAAGGCCATGCTACAGGAAGGCTTATTCTGTACTGGCCACTGTCCTCATTAGTTTTCCCTGGGGAGAGGAGGGCCACAGGAAAACGGGGAGGGGGAGCAGGGTCAGGGCATCTGATTTTACAGCAAATAGCTGAAAAGGGATGGGGCATTGGGTGGTGAGGAGCAAGGGCTCGAGTGCAAGCAGACACGCGGCTGGAGGTACGCTCTCCTCCCCACAGGTACCCGCAGTGCCAGGTACAGCAGATGCAAGGGGCTGCACAGGCCTTTGGTCTGGCTACCACCAGCTTTCAGGCCAACACTTACCTGTGTTAGGAAAGGCAGGAAAAGCCTTCATGAACCTCTTTGAGATCAACTGAGGAGACAGGAAAAGGCCAGTTCCACGCTCTGGAGAGTCCCACTGTATTTACAGAAACAGGTGAGGTGCAGATCACTGCAGGGGCCCAGTGAGCACAAGTTTATGCAGGCAGTGAAAAATGCTGTGCAAAACCTACAGCCTGTAGTAAGATAAAGCGTCTCAGCTGGAGCTGGCCCCAAATGAGTTCTTATAGCAGTGCTCTGTATACACATTCTGTATACACATACCCCCCCCCCCGCCCCCAACCTCCAAACACAGGAGTTCTCATTTCACCACTGCACTGCTGAGCAGCACTAAACCTTATGCAAAGTAGAAGCTGTAGGGACTGTGCAGAGGATCAGCTGCAGCGCTCTTGTGGCAGTCACTCCCTTGCCTTCACTACAAATGCAGCCTCCTTTCCTATTCAGCAGTGCGGTGCCAGACAACCACTCCTGTTCCAGCTTTCAGTGTGAAAGCTGGAAGCACTGGTTTTCCAGCAGGACAAAAAGCAACAAGACATATTTTAACTTCGAACAAACTTTTTTAAAATTTATTTTATAGATCACATCAGCCTGAGTGATCTTTGAATGCTGGTCACAAAAGAGAGATCACACCACCTCCTTCACATGAACTGAAATAAATCCTCTTCTAGTCTCAGCAGTCTCCTTCATTTGGAGCACAAGGAATGGAGAAAGAGAAAACTGCCTGGAGCTCTCTGCTCCCCACGGAAGCAGAGGGCAGTGAAATCAGATGCAGTTTGATGCTGCTACAGAGCCAGAACATAAACGGACCAGGCCCTCACACTCTGCTAGCCACACTTCACACCCCCTCACAATGTGGGTGCTATTAGTGTTGTAGCTGCCTATAGTTCCTCCCCAGGAGAGCGCTGGTATTTAGGCACATAGCTCGGAAAGGACTCTCTGACCTCCCTACGTCCACCCATGCTCAGGCCACTACAGTCTCTAAGGCAAAGTACTCTCATCTCCAACCCATATTCCTCACCTCTCTCACGTCGATTAATGTTTTTGGAGTGCTGATGCCAGCAACAAGACATGTGCTCCACCCCCCCC